TCGGCTCACTGCAAGCTCCGCCTCCCGGGTTCACGCCATTCTCCTGCCTCAGCCTCCCGAGTAGCTGGGACTACAGACGCCCGCCACCTCGCCCTGCTAGTTTTTTTGTATTTTTTAGTAGAGACGGGGGTTTCACCGGGTTAGCCAGGATGGTCTCGATCTCCTGACCTCGTGATCCGCCCGTCTCGGCCTACCCAAAGTGCTGGGATTACAGGCTTGAGCCACCGCGCCCGGCAGACAAGTGGAGTGTTTTTAAAGGAAACTAATAGGGAAACAAAAAACAGCATATCCAGGGGTAGTGATGTGAGCAAGTCTGTGGCTAATGTCATACATTGATTAAGTCAAGAAATAGAGGCGGGACATGGTGGCTTACATCTGTAATCCCACTTTGGGAGGTGGAGGCTTGAGGATTGCTTGAGGCCAGGAGTTTGAGACCAGCCTGGACAATATAGCAAGTCCTCTCTATGAAAAGTTTTTGAAAAATTAGCTGAGTGTGGTGGCACAGGCCTGTAGTTCCAACGACAGGTTGTAGTGTTTGAGCCCAGGAGTTCGAGGCTGCAGTGAGCTCTGATCGAAACCCCATCTGAAAAACAGAAAACGCTAAAAACGTTCCAGTGGCTGCTTCCGGGAGGAAGGGTAGGTGTAGCCACAGATTGCTGTCTTTTTCCCTACATCTTTGTGGATGGCTGTTTAACAGGATGTATGTCTTCAGGCAAATGACTTCATCCTCGAATTTCAGGTTCATGATCTACAGGATGTGATTATGCTACTTCGACCTAATAGGGTTGCTATACGGGTTAAGTGATGGGTGTCCCTAAAATGTTCAAGGGTATCGGGAGAAGGTTGCAAAATAGGAGGAAGAAGCTGGCTGGGTTTTTTTTTTGTTTTGTTTTTGTTGTTTTTTTTGAGTCCGAGTCTCGCTCTGTCGCCCAGGCTGGAGTGCAGTGGCGCAATCTCGGCTCACTGCAACCTCTGCCTCCTGGGTTCACGCCATTCTCCTGCCTCAGCCTCCCGAGTAGCTACAGGCGCCAGCCACCACGCCCGGCTAATTTTTTTGTATTTGTTTGTTTGTTTAGTACAGACGGGGTTTCACCATGTTAGCCAGGATGGTCTCGATCTCCTGACCTTGTGATCCGCCCGCCTCGGCTTCCCAAAGTGCTAGGATTACAGGCGTGAGCCACCGCGCCCGGCCAGAAGCTGGCTTCTTGCAGGGACAGCAGGGCCGCAAGGCTCTGTGACTCTAGGCCCCATCACAGCCGGCCCTGTCCCACTTCCTTTTTCGGCCAGAACCCCAGAACCCCAGTGATTCAATAGGTCGGGTCCTCCTCGGGGGAACCAGGCCTGCCCTCTAGGAATCAGGGTATCCCCGCCTCCTTGGCCAGCTCTCGGAGCCTGGGACTCAACACCTGCCGATTGGCTGCCGGGCCAGGACCTGTCGCTTGGGCATCAGTGGCCGCCGCCGTCCAATCACAGACGTACAGGGGCGGGCGTGTGGGCCTGTTGGACCAGCAGGAGGACGGCGACGGGCCGAGGCCGCTGGACCCGCCGTTGGAACCACAGCTGGGTGAAGTCAGTGCTGCTAGGTCTTTGGAGCCAGACCGAGGGGAGGGTCGCGCGCCCCAGGGTGGGGAGCACCAGGCGGGCGTCGGCCGGGCCTCCCGAAGCCTCCTCGAGCCGTTAATACCGCCCGTGCCTCCCTCCTAGTCCTACATCTGGCATTGCCTGTTCCTCTTCGGCTTCCAGGCCCGCCCGACCCGCCATATTAGGTCCCGGCCCCGCCCTCCGTCTCATTGGCCCCCCCAACCCAGGCCGACCCTCAGCTCTTTGGCCCAGGCTCCCGCCTTCTCCGCCCAATGTTAGGCCTCACCTTCTCTAGGATCCACCCTCTCCCCGCCCACCTTCATAAGCCACACCTACCACTCCAACTCTCCTTTCTGGCTTGTAGGCCGCACCTACTCTGCATATGCCCCGCCCCTCACTCCAGGCCCGCCCACTTAACTGAGGATCCAGGATCCCCTCCTTAAGGTTTGGGCTCGGAATTGCCTTTTTTTTTTTTTTTTTCTTGTGACGGAGTTTCCCTGTTGTCACCCAGGCTGGAGTGCAGTGGCGCGATCTGAGCTCACTGCAACCTCCACGTCCCGGGTACAAGCGATTCTCCTGCCTCAGCCTCCCAAGTAACTGGGATTACAGGCGCCCACCACCACGCCCACCTAATTTTTGTATTTTTAGTAGAGACGGGGTTTCACCACATTGACCAGGCTGGTCTCGAGCTCTTGACCACAGGTGATCCGCCCGCCTCGGCCTACCAAAGTGCTGGGCTTACAGGCATGAGCCACCGCGCCCGGGTCGGAATTGCCTTCTTTAGACCCTCGCCCACCTGCTGCTGAGTCCTCCTGGGCCCCGCCCCAGTCCTAAGCCCCGCACACGCCCTGCTAGGCCCCGCCCATTTCTTTCCCCCCTTTCCAACCCGTTCCTCCCCAGCCTCTGCACCCTACCCTTATTTCCTGTCCCTGTCGCGCCCAGGTGTTTACCTGGCACTCAGGTGAGTCGTGCGCTCCGGCGGTTTCGGTCGGAGCTGCCTGCCTCTTCCGTCAGCGCGTCCCACAAACCCAGACGGCACGGAGGGGCCCCAGGCCAAAGGCGGTGGGCCCCTGAGCCCTGACACCGCCTCGCCACTGCTGCAGGTGACCCCGGCCGGCAGCGCCGCCGTGGTCCCGGAGCGCAGCGACATGCCCGAGCTGGTGGTAACCGCGCTGCTGGCGCCGTCGCGCCTGTCGCTGAAGCTGCTGCGCGCCTTCATGTGGAGCCTGGTGTTCTCGGTGGCGCTGGTGGCCGCGGCGGTCTACGGCTGCATAGCGTTCACGCACGTGCTGTGCCGGCCCCGGCGCGGCTGCTGTGGACGCCGTCGGAGCGCGTGCCCCGCCTGCCTGAGCGACCCCTCGCTGGGCGAGCATGGTTTCCTGAACCTCCAGGTGATCGCACGGGGGCGCTATCGGGGCTGCGGGGTCGTGTGGGGTCGAGACGGTTCAAGCCTAGGGAGGGAGGGTTCCCCAGGCTTCAGGCCGTGCCCTCCCCCTAGAGCTCGGGCCTGCGTCTGCACTATGTCTCGGCTGGACAAGGCAACGGACCCCTCATGCTGTTTCTGCACGGCTTCCCTGAGAACTGGTACGTCTGGGGCCCAGGGGCCTGAGGCGCACGGGACTCGGGGGCAGGTGGAGCTTGGGTTCCCAAGAGGCAGTGGGGAGGGCTGCGTAGATCGGGACAAGCTGAACATAGATGGGGACAGGGGTACTGGCCAGCATACCCAGGATCCCTAGGCCCTGAAGGGACAGGACAAAGGGGTACTGAGGTTGATTGAGGCTCCCTGGATTCAGGGTGTAGTTGGCTTCAGCCTCAGCCTCTGCCTCTGCCTCTGCCTGGGATTCCCCATCCTTCTTTTAGGGGAAGTTTAGAGCAGGAAGGAGGGGTTGCCAATGGTCGCTGATGGGCGTAGGGTGCAGGTGCAACCTGAGGGCCCTGACTCAGCCTCTCTCCCCCACCGGCCTGGCAGGTTCTCCTGGCGTTACCAGCTCCGGGAGTTCCAGAGCCGCTTTCATGTTGTGGCTGTGGATTTGCGAGGTTACGGCCCCTCAGATGCACCCCGGGATGTGGACTGCTACACGATC